ATATATATATATCAATCCACCAGCATACCCATTAAGATACCAATACACACATCATCACAGCCATCACCACAAGGATTAACACATCACACCCAACACCGCAGCGTCCGCCTACCACCTCACCCATCCATCCATCATTACACCAATCCACCCACCACCAACCCGTGACCAAATCAATCCACATATCACACCGATCTATCCACCATCACACCCAGCACCATACCAATCCATTCATCCCCAGTTCGATACACCCACCATCACACCATGAGCACCAATCCACTCACCAACACATCCACACCACATCAATCCGCCCACCATCACACCCATAACCCACAACCCCACCCATCCACCCACCTACAAACCCAACAAGACACCCATCCACCCGTCAGCAATCCACCCACCACGACACCCATCACCCAAGTCCCCACCAATCCACTCACCTATGAATCCAACAAGACACCCATTGCTGCAATCCATCCATCCCACAGCAATATCGATCCACCCATCACCACATCAACCACATCCATCCTTCTATCCACCCATCTACGCACCCACCCAACCTAACATGACCAAAATACCCACCGACCCCCTTAAAAAGCAGAACAAACAAAACCACCTACCTCCTGCCAGTCCCAGCCTTCACTGCGTCTCTGTTGAAGTTGGTGTTGGTCAGGGAAAAGTCCTCCGCGTTGCCGCAGAGCAGTCTGGGAAACACTGATTGCTTCTCATAGCGGTCCATGTCGTCGTAGATATTGCCGTACATGAAGCCATTCATGAGGGTGGAGTGGGCGTGCAGGTCGATGTAGAAGTCCATGTCGTGTTGCTGGGAACGTACGGAAAATTAATAGCATGTTAGGCCACAGATACAATTCTCACAACTCATGTCATTAATCGCACAAAATTACTATTATCTGTCGCAGTAAATTTGAATGCTGGACTCGTTTTTAGTGTCTTCGAAAAAGAAAAAAAAATTATATTTTAAAATATGATTAACTTCAAACCCTCATTGACATAATTAGTTATTTAGGGGTCAGGCTGATTTGACCCTGCTTTCTATAGCTACCAGAGGCTAGGTAGAGTATATCTCTGCAGATTGATCAGGATACTTGATAAAATGGGTGGTTTGAGCAGTTTCCACTGCTATCCACCCAACTAATCCAGCCCTTTCAGAGATTAAGATTAGTTTGTTTTAGTAAGTGTTTTACGGAAGATAGATGTCGGATGGGAAAGAAGGAGCAAACCACAGCAGAGCACCCATCAACCATCCACAGTAAAGATTAAATCAGATGGGTTTTTTTCTCCCATATATAATCTCAAGAAAAAAGTAAAAAGTAAGTATATAATCTCATTCAATTGAAGTAGGGACCACGTAAATCTGCAAAACACCATATAACCATCACTCATTTGACTGATTCCAAGTCTCTTCAGAAGTTTTTAAAAAATCTCAAGTGGAGTTCACTTAAACCAAAATCTGTAGGACCTATGGATTTTCTTTGGTTTAGCCGAGTTTGATTTTTGAGAGGTTTCTCGATTAGAAACATCTGATTTTTTTTGTCGGTTTACCACTGCTTTCGGATTAACCATGTTCGATTTAAATGGACTCTCAAGTATTTCATTTTTGTTTCTTTTATTTCTCTCACCTGATTCCTATCTAGCTCCATGAGTAAGTTCTTGGTAGCGTACAAGGTCGGGTGTGCCCAGGGAGACGGTTCCTGCCAATGTCTGTTAAGGTCGAAACCCATGAGGGAGCACCTGCATGTGATGGGGGGTAGGGGGTGGGGGTGGAAGGTAGAAGGGGGTAAGTAGTAGTTGGTAAGGTGTTTTATTCGGTGTTTGAGGACATTGGCCCAGATCATATAAAACACACATTTGATAGAATTGACCTCCGTGACAACAGCATAAATTAGGGGTAAGACACAGTGAGAATATCAGTCCGGGAGGAATCGGATCAGGAGCCAGTCCAGATTAACAGGACATGTAGCATTTCACGTTTTATAATGTGAACACTTCCCCTCCAAATGCACCCCCTATCCTTACCCCCTAACCACCCTTGACAGACAAAGACACATAGGTCCATAAAGAAGCAAACTTACACAAATGCACATAACACACAGAGGCACACAAACAAACACACACATACTAACAGAACGCAGCCGAATCTTTTTTGTTTATTTAAGATTATCTTTTAAATCAATAAATTAACAAATTTATTAACATAATATGCATGCTCTTGTAAATGTATTCACTCATTAGTTTGTTCATGAGCTGATTGAATGAGAGCTGCTTGGTTGACTGATGATGTTCATTTTGACTGATTGATTAGTTTATGTTATACAACCGTTTTACTACCAAAAAAAAAAAAGGTGAAAAATCAAAATGACAAACAAGGTTTGACATTGTAATGAATAACAATGGTGGGGGGCCTTGGGGGTT